GAATTGATATGAATTTGCATAATACAATAAAATATTTTCTACCAGTAAGTAAGTTATCAATGAAAAATAATTTTAAACACAATACTGAAACAGTAAAAATAATCAAACAAAGAAGTCTACAAATTCCTTTTAAAATTCTTAACTTAACATAAATGAAAACTTTCAATCTTATTTAAATATCGTTATTTTAAGATGAAAATTATTTAAGCAATTAGAATAAAAATTCAAGCTTACCTAAAAAGACAGAATCAAATCTGTAGAATTACAATGAACTTTATTTCTTTAGACCAGATCGGAAAGTGATTTTGCTAAAATCACTAACCGATGCGGTCATTCTACAGACTTGAATTCTGAGCAATCAGGAAGCACGTTACAGAATAGTTTTAGCCAATTTTGGCAAAATTTCTTTTATGTTTGACACTAATCGCTCAACTAATGAAAGTGCTAATGAAAGTACTTATCTGTCCACGGATATTTTTTTATAACAAAGACGGATTAAAGAAAGCCGAAACAAAGTAAACATTTTCCGTGATGAGGAATTTCGAAGTGTCAAGTTAAGTGTATAAAGAATTTATTTCCAAAGATGCCGAAATAAAGAAGAATTTATTTATTTACTCATTGGCTTGATATGACTATTTGATCTTAAGAGACATGCTAATTTAATACAAAGGAAGTGAGAATTAACTTTGTTACCTAGAAATCTAAAATCTAAATATTCACGAGTAACGACATGTCACTATCAAAAGAACAAAAGATTTTTTTTTCAATTAAACTAAACACGACAAAAACTGTGCAAAATTGAGTAACCTTACATTTTGACAATTAAACTATATTTCCGTTTTCATTAATTAAAAATGATATGTTTAAGCTATATTTCAATTTAACATTATGAATTAAAAATTCATTTATTTATAATTGTTACATTAAAAGTTTAAATCTAAAGTTTAAACTTATCTATAACTATCTCTCTCCTTGAGATAGTTATAGATAAGTTTAAACTTTAGATTTAAACTTTAAATGTAACATATGTTTTACTTTGAAGTAGAATTATGGAGTATAAACTTCTTCAGAACACGGTTCCATTGTTTCATCATTGCGCATCTGGTGCATCAAAATTGGTACCAATATTGTAAGTTTTACATTTTGACCCCTGGGTGGAGGCCTCTGCTGTTCGACTGTTAGTCCCCAAGGGTGTCTACAGCCCAGTAGCTGAGTACTTCGGTACTAGCTTGAAAATACGGATATATATTCAATTGCTATGGTAAAATTTAGAAATTTATTTCAAAATGAAGAATTATCTCACTCATGCATAGCTCTGATCCCTCGACGTATTTGGCTCCAGTCTTTGGCACCCCCATTTTTTTTTTTTTAGCTCTTTAAGATTTTAGTAAAACTATAATGCAATTATCTGAATTTTAATACAATATTTTCAATGTTGTTCTAAAATTTCGTGAAAAAAATTAAAGAAAACATAAAAACACATCTATATTGATGAAATTGAAAAGGAATTGAAAAGGAACAGATTTCTATTTTTTTAAAAAAAACTGTAATTAATTTAGTAATAAATTATTCAAGTAGATGCAGTGGCCCGCGTGGCGCAGTGGTTAGAGCGTTTACTCTAAAGTTGCGGTGTAAGGAGTTGATCCTTACGGTGAATAAACTGAGGTTCCTTGTCCCAGTAAGTGATGGCAAAAAAGGTTTCCCTCAATGCTCAATGGCCCTGAGTGCCGAGTTTAGGTCTAAATTTGCATCCCTCCAAAGGAAGTGGTGGCGTCTCCATATGAGTGAAAAATTCTCGAGAGGGACGTTTAACAACAATTCATATAACATTTTAAGCCTTTAAATGGTATACCGGTTATTGTTAAACACTTTCAAAATTCCTTTTTTGACTAAATTGTCATACAGATTTTTAATTCAATATTTTTTGGCAACATTACGTTTTATCTGTTATGGTATAGCATTTTTTTTCAGCATCAGCCTGACCATAACTTGGTCAAGCGAAAGTTAGTACATTTTAATCAGGACACTATTTTTGTTTTCAGCATAAACCATTATTATTGTTTTTAACAAATCTTCAAAAAATTTGCAATTTTCAAAATGTCACAAAAAAGTGTTGCACTCTTGACATTTTAATCATCAGTTTTTGCATAACTTTTTTGTTTTTCAAGATATCAATAAGATATTTGGCAGGCATTTAGCCAGTATCAGAAGATACTTTCTGAGCAACATAGCTTGAACTGTTAGTGCAAGTTGATAATTTTGTATATGGTCATTTTTTTAATTCACCCTTTGACCCACAGTTCAGGTACAACCTTATCTATATTAAAGTAGTCAGAATGATGACTTTGAAAAAAATATTTCAAATATTGAGAATTTAAGGAAGCACTCAATATCCAAGAATCTAGAAACATCTAAATATTTTTATTTTAAATTCTGTTTTAGTCTCTTCTGCAGAAGCTACAGCATTGATCTGTCAGTTATGAAGAAATGTGTTTCTATCAAGAGGATTGGTAATCATACGTATTGTACGACAGAGTACTTGAGAACAGGATTAATGCATATTTGTTTAAATTTATCTAAATACTTCCTGTTCTTCTGTTATGATTTACATGTATGTGAATTATTAAGAGAAAATTCTAAGTTTTCGTTGGTGTTCACGTGTAATTTGCATGTCACTGAGACTAATCCAGAAGAAGTCATAAGTATATCTTTTGGTAAAATTTAAAAGATAACTTTTATTAAAAAAGTCAGCATGTCAATGTTTTTCCCGTGTTTTTATTTCAGATTTTTGATACACTGTATTACAATGCTCGTAATTTTTGGAATTATATTGTCTATATGAAAGTTGAATATTGTTAAAAGAATCTGAAACAAAATGTCGTTTGTGCATGGGATTGCCAAAAAAATGTTGATGCTGTGGTTATGCACAGTGCATTCAGGATATCATGCCTGTATGTAAAATCAAGATTTAATTTAGAAAAAAAATCGATAAATAAAATAATCCATCACGTCAACATGTTCAATCAAACAAATACTTTGGCTCTTAGGTTTAACCCTCGATCAACATGTGGTTAAGATACTGAAATACCTTTCACAACAAGTGATATACATGTAGTTAATTTATTTAACCTTTCTATACTGATCATGAATGCATCATTTATTGACATAAAAATATAAACTTTGCAGTCTGGAGTTAAGGGTTTTCTATCTTGTAATACACATCATTTTTGTTGTTTACAAATATTGGAATCTAATGTTTATGTATTATACACTGTTTAAACAGAGGATGAAAATATCAAACATTTGTGGATAAAAAAAAACATTATTTGTATCATTTAAGCCAGAATTTTTATTCATGGTGAAAGGATTTATTCTAGCTTGGTATTTTAATGTAAGAGAGCTACTTTATCATAGTAGTGGCCCGATCATCATTCTAGTATAATTATGTTAAATAAATTTGCTGATAAAAAAAAAATAAAATAAAATGAATGCTTTAGGTAAAGAAGGAAAACTTACCTCTGTATCGATAATTTGAAGAAAAAAATTGTCTCTAAAGTATATCAGCGTGAATATTCATGAAAGATCAAACAGATGTTATTCAGTTAGACAAGGAAAATCGCGAGGAAATTTTACCTGAAGTTACCTGAAATTCCAAAAGAAATAATTTGAATGTTCTTTGTATAATCAAGTATAAATTACATTAAAGTACATGTAAGTCCTAGCAAAAATAACTTTTTGGTAAATGTATAACAGTTCTTTTGTTTAAACTTCACAATGGCTTTCATATTCATAACTAAGAGTAGTTTAAATGTTAAGGCAGCAGTCCATAAAAGGAATCCCTAGTATTTCAATCAATAAACGATTACCTGGTATCTATATTGTCTTTTGTGTCTATCAAGTTTCTGTTTACAAAGAATTTCGCCATGAAATGTTGAGTTTGATATACTCATCACATACGTTCATTAGTATCTGTGACTTGTATGTCTTTTTTGTAAGATTGAGAAGAATGTCGTTGTCTTTGAGCATTGAAACTTTATATACAACTTCAAATCATAAGAGACATTCAAATTGTAAAGGAACCGACAATGAAAGTGTGTCTATGTCCCTTTAGGAAATCGTCAGCTTGAAAGTTTATGTCGAGATGTATTCTAAAAGGTTATGAAACGTTGGTATAGAGGATATGAGAAAATACATTCGATCAAAAACCTTACATAAATTTTAATCAACTTTTCTTTTTTTTAAGATGATTCAGATTCGTTCAAAAACGTATGGGATCATGAATCTTTTTTTTTTCTTTTTATTGGTCGAAAATATTAATTATAGCTTATATGTTGTCAGTAGATTAACACCATGATTTGCATTTTGATTTATCTGTATTCTTTCAAACTTAATCACAAAATTCAAGCAGATATGCTTTCAGTAGAGAGTCACTTTTCTACGGTCAATATTACGCTACAAATCCTTGTGGGTTTTTATCGTTCAGTCTTCTTTTTTGTCAGATTCCATGTCAAAGAAAATTCAGTCGTTCAAGAACTTAAGAGAAAACGAAATTTTGTATTAAATCGTTTTATGAAACACATTATCGAATGCTAGAAATCAACCAATTCTACCAAGGAAAGGGTTAAAAATATAAGTACTTGAATGCATTTATCTGAAAGGAGGGACATATTGTTTTATAGTAGTTTTATCGTTAAAAATATAGTTATAAAAATAATGTTATTTAATTATTTTTTTTTTTTTTTTTTACAATTTCCTAGATTTCACGATGTTTTTGAATTAACAACAAGAGATTCAAATTAAATTCTAAAAATAAGTGAAAATTTTGTATCCTGACATATCAGCTCGAAAACCCTTTGCAAGACAAAAGAAAGCATTTAGTGATGAGTGGACATCTGTAATGAATCAATAATACCCCTCAAGAAAGAAAAATAGATAAATAAAATAGGTGTAAAGTCGGACAGAGGAAATACAGTTAAATTCTGAACAGAAAATTCGATTGATAAAGCATGATGGCGTAATGAAACTTTATACAAAAACCTTCATCTATAACTTGCCATATTAGATTGTTTGAAATTTTGAGCCCCTTTTGATATTTATTTAAATTGCTATGTTTTATGAAACTATTCTAATAATCTGAGCTTATTTTTCTAATATAGGGGTCATCTCGTAGTTATAAACTACGCTAAACAATCTGTTGGGTTCGAAACGGTATATTTCATTCCTTTCTAGTTTCCGGGGAAAATCCCCTCCACCATATCTTTAATATTCCTTAGTTACATGTACTATTAAAAAAATAGTTTGTCTATGAGATCAGAATGTCCTAAATGACTGCTATTATAGATTTCTTTTGGTTTTGTTGTCCATCAACAGTTTCTTCTTGGCAAGCACATTCGTCATTTCCTTTTTCTGGACATAAACAACCGGGTTTATCTCCCTTATTTGAATTTCCTGGTGTTACTTGGTTTCCTAGATTGCTGAAGTAGGAAAAAAATGATTAAAATTAAATCATATCTTAAAATCAAGTGAGAATATCTAGAATAAAACTGGATAAACTTTTATTTTTGATAAATAAAAGTGTTCAGTTTATTTTCAATTTAATTATTATACTCTAAACATCAAAATGTTAATATTTTATGGTCTTTGATCTGTCTGTGAGATCAGTGATATATAGGCATAGCTAACATAAATAGAACACAGCCTTTACTTTGTCTTAAGATGACGATTGTTAAATCGACTATCAATAGTCAATCCGTGAAGTTACGGAAAGAGCCTTGATCCAAAAATAAATTTTGTATTAGTATAGTAAAAAAAGTTAAAAAATGGTTTTGTGACTCGCAAGACTCTGGATCCTCTTGACAATATCTACATGTTTTTGCGTCACCTCAAGAAACAGAACCAGAATCTTGCTAACTCCTTCAATGATATATTTAATTTTATAAAATTTCACACTATATATGCACATAAAATATGCAAACTAAACGTCTTGAGCATTTTCAACGAACAGAAAACAACTAATCTCTAATGAAGTATCAATGACAACGTCATATAATGACTCCCACCCAACCCTATACTCATTTCTTTTTAAATGCGGGAAAACTTCATTTGTCAACTCTGTATAGATATTACAGAAAATCAAAAGATAATCTAAATTGTCTATGGATCATGTCAGACTTCACAATAGCTGGTCCTGCTCACAACCAGAACATATCGATCGAGGAGTCAACTTTTCTGTAAAAATAAGTTAACATCTGGTAACCTGAATATTGTAAAGATTGCTATCTACGGGGAAAGGCCACGAATTTGAAAAATAAATATTTGCAGAATGATTCCTTACCGCTTTGCCTCCATCAATCTATGGCCAATCTCCTCTGTTCCTTTCTCCTTGGGAATTAAATGTTGTGTATTAACCACAGATCTTTCACCGTCTGTCTGTTCCTCTACCTGTTCCTGACGAATTCTAGCAATGGACGGATCAATACCAACTGGTACCTCGGGTATATCTTCTTGTCCGTTTGATACAATAACCTCTATAACATCCTCTATCGATGGCCCTTCTTTTGCGCATGCGCAATTTTGTCCATCTGGACATGTACATTGTCCTACCGTGCGTTTTTGCAGTGATCTGGGATATTCTAGCTTCCTGAAAAATTTTGATTGATTATTATTTTTGTTTAACGCCGAGTCGGCAATATTTCAGCCATATTGAAAAATAACTAATAATGCCTGATTGTGCACGTATACTGCAGACAAACTATTACTCGCGTCATCTTTTATTCGCGATTCATCACTTTGAAATCAATCCGCGACGATTAATTATCGCGACTAAGGAAACATTCTCTGCAAATACAAAGCAAAATAAATGGTTCGCTGCGATTAATATTCACGAGTTAAAGTAGGTCCTGAGACTCGCGGATATTTCTCGCACGCGAAAAAAGTTGGTTTACAGTAGTTCGTTGAGAAAATAGGTGGTGCGGCTTCTAACCAAAATGAATTCTAAAGCCCTTGACATCCGGAGATTGAACATTGATACGCTGCTTAAGTGTCGAGTTGGAATTATTTATATGTACTTTTCTGAAAGTGCAAGTCTATGAAATGAAGAGAAAACCGATTTGATTTCAATAAGCCATAGATCCTATCAAAAAAATTGAAGAAATCTTAAATGGTCGCCAAGGACCTATGGTTACGCATTACATATATTTGTTAAGTCTTACACATAACTGTCATGGACAAAAATCCATGCCATATCTGGAGATTTATTTTAAATACAGTGAAACTTGTCTAATCTGGATGCTGTGTATTCCAAAATCTTGCCTAATACAATGTAAACTTCAAGTCCATTTCAGTAAATTCAATTGTTTAAAATATCTAATCTGGCCAATTTCTATGGAACCAATGGTGTCCGGATTAGACAAGTTTTACTGTATACATAAAAAGGTCCGGATTATTCTTTAATGTCTTAGAGATGAATTCCGAAAAAATAGATAGTCCAAAAAATAGTTCAAATCTGTGGAATATTGATAATTCCTGGAAATAGAATGATTTCATTCCCGTTCAAAAATATTAGTTATTTTTGAGACAGATTTATCCGTCTTTATGATAGTATTTGACTTTTTTTCTTCAAAAATTATCAATGAGAACAATTTAAGTAGAATCTATCTTAAGAATTGTCATAAAAATATTTGTGCATACAACTACTTTACTAATTTTTTTTTTTTTTTACATAAAACGAAAGATTTTCGAAGAAAAAAAGATTATTATTTTGGAATGATTTGTTAGAAGCTACAATTAAGATACCACCACCCTTTCTCTTAAAAAAATAAGAAATAAACAAAATCTTACCATTTGATTTCCTTTTGATGACCATTGATGCTACAATGTATCTGGAGTTTGTTGCTTATAGAGAAACATTTCAAGATTCGAGTTAGACTTCTCTTTGTTTGAAGGTCTAGCTTCTGATGAAATGAGACAAAATGAGAGGGTCAATAATATTAAACGTGCTCGCCTATCCTCCATGTTTCGTGCGTGGTTGGCAGCACTGAAGCACACAATGCAAGCGGTTATATAGTGTTTTCACACAATGAAGGTGACTTATTGCCGAAAATACAACAATTCTCAAATGAGACTCAGGTGTTGTAGATTTCTGATTAGACAAAAACAGCTTTCCCTATGAAGTCATTTAGTACTTTCTGTGGGCTTTCAGTAAAACTTTTATTCTGTGTGCTGACGTTCCTTTCTATGACCACAAATGGATTTCTTTGTTCAAACGAGAATCTTTGCTTCTTCATATGGTCCACACAAGGTCAAGGAGGACATATTTTTTTCAATAATATTTTCAATCTGCAACATAAAAAAACATCACAGTCTTAATTGTGCAATGCACAAGCATTTTTCCCAGTTTCTAAGATAAGACTACAAAAACGTTTAAGAACCTAGTTCATAATAAGTGATGATGAAGTCGGTGTATTTTTGGACACGGTTCTTAATACGAGGGTTGATCAAAAAGTAATGTCACATCTACTATGAAATCTTTAATAATCAAAAGTATTCAACACAACTTTATATACTAATACCTCTGCCTATTTTAACTTTTGTCCTTAAATTTCATTCCGATATAAGCACTACTTTATAAAATATTAAAATAAACACATTGTTGGGTCTCGTCTATCGCCCCACGGCAAGAACGTACCGTTGTCGTTATTTTGAATTAATTTGAATTTGATGATACATAAGATTTCCACAAAAAGGAATGAATTAGGAAATACTACAACTCAAAACAACACGGTTTATAGCAAAATGACAGTCAAAATTATTTTAAAAAGAAGCACATGAGAGGTTGAAAAGATAAGCGGATGAACTGAAAATGGGTACCAAAAAGTAACGTCATAGCGATTTCAGTAATCCATTTTCTCTACATTGGACCAAATATAGATCGGAATCTTCCAGATCAATATATGTTTGTAATGTTTATGATATTAAGTTTTGTCATCTTATGAAATCCTACGTCTTCAACGGTGTTTGGCAAAGACTTTATCAAACAAGAAAGATGACAGGGTTTGCTCAAAGGAGTATGTTTTATTCAATCATTGAATCTTAAAAAAATTTTGTTTTGTTGTTTTATTTTCAAAACGACGATTTAGCAATCATAGAAATCAACTACATGTAATTCTCTGGACACCTTTACCATAATATTGACCCAGAAACAGCATAATTGTATCTGCACTATCACCATTTTCTTTCTTATAGTAAACAGTTACGTAATAAAAGAAAACACTAATTATGTGGCACTATTATTACTAAAATTTTATATTATGTTGTGTTTATTATATATTATTATATACCTAACTGTTTTCACCCAGTTTTACTGTTGAATTTATGCATTCACGTGAAGGTGTGATCCGACGTTCCGGATCACCACACTGTGGTTTTCTGAGTCCATATCACCCCTCTCTGAAACTGATGACGTAGTACACAGATAAATGACGTTTTTATGCTGGCGCATCAAAAAGTTCCTTGACAAAATGGTTTGTTTAATGGATAAAAGTTATGTAATTGATCCAAAAAGTTTTCTTTTATTATATTTTGCTAGTTGTAAAGGGGTATATAATAAATTTATCATTATAACAGTAACTTGATCCGAAGAGCCGTATCACGTCTCGTTGACAGGCGCGGATCATCAGATCAAACTCGACGCTTCGCGTCTCGTTTGATCTGATGATCCGCGCCTGTCAACTTGACGTGATACGGCTCTTCGGATCAAGTTACTGTTATAATAATATATATTTATGTACTAATCATAATTTGTTTCCTATAATGGACGGCCAAAACGTCGTTAAAAGTCAGAGTAAATTTGAATCAAATGTTTGGTTTTCTCTCCTTCATGATATATTTTCTCTGCTTTTATAACAATGCACTTAAAAATGACTGTTTTCTAGATAACGGATACTGATGAGTAATATTTACAACAATAAGTTGTAATTGTGTCGCCCACGTGGAGCAGTGACTAGAGCGTTTGCTCTAGAGTCGCAGAGTAAGGAACTGAACCTTACCTCGCGGGTTCAAATCCCACTGAAGGACGTGGAGACTGGTCCTTCGGATGAGACTTTATAGTATAAACCGAGGTCCCGTGTTGCAATAGACGCTGGCAAAACTGATCCCTCAATGCTCAAAGAGGCAAGTACAGGTCTAAATTTGCAGCCCCCAGCCGGCAAGTGAAAAATAGTGAAAAATTCTCGGAGAGACGCTGAAACAAACAAACAAATGACGAAAAGACACTTCTTGGGATGATATTAAATTATCTAAATATCAACAAGGCAGGTAGACGACAAATTCAGAGAGGTTACTTGAGCTAAAGCTTTGTTTAAATGAGGATAAAATGTGAACATTTTTATCAACATTGCATTTTTGCAAATTTCAATTTGTTAAAACGTATAGGAAAAGACCAAACGGAAATCAAATATTAGCACTTTTAAGCTAGAAAAAATAAAGTCTGTATCAAATAAAATGTATTTTAATTTTTTTTTATTAAACCTGTGATTGATTTATATAATTTAAAGCATCAATCTACTTTAAATACTTTATTCAGGTAGTTCAGGTGCAAAAAATCAGGAAAGACAATGCTTAGACTAAATGAGATAATATTCTTTAGCCTTATTTTAAAGATGATAAAAGTTTGGACAGCAAGTAAGTCTGAAATTATTCATAAGAATTTTTTTTTAGATAAAACAACTGATTTGAACAAATATATCGAGAGATTAATTCAAAGATCACTGAAACGAGTTTATGTCTTTTTTAGGTGAAATTTCTTTAAAGCAGGTAAGAACGAGACTTGACCTCATTGAACCCTCATTAGCAATTTGGTCTGGATTTAATTACCCGTTCATTTGGTGTGGTCTGGAATGTCTCAAGGAACATAACTGCGTGTCCTTACTGTACAATTCTACAGAGATGTCTTGTAAGCTTTTTCGAGTCATATACAATGAGGATGAAGATGGAGATGACACTGTAAAATATTACATACTGGATAGAGGAAGAACCCGCTGGGGTAAGTAGCAGAGAACCTCAACTTCGGAGTTTTGAAAATTGCTACAAAATGTTTATGTTACATCTTACTGAGCAACAGTACAATAAACTTGACCTTTTAGCACTTAAATTTTAACTTTTAGGTTTATCACTTTAATCTTTTAACATATTTTGAAAGATGTAATCATGGCAACAATTATCATCTAATTTTATGTAAAATGGCTTGGATAATATTAATTTTTCAAGAAAGTCTGCAAATTAATTGTGTAAATTATTGGGTGACCTTTTTGCACTATAAGAATATCATATTTTGGGTTGTAAAAATCTAAGTAGGCAGTAAAATATTTTCTTGCATCAAGTTTTTATTACTCTAGTAATGATTGATTGGAAGTATCGTGTAGTTTAAAATAATGAGAGAGAATGTTATGCCTAGTGATGTGAATTTTGAGACATTGGTTTAAATATGCGATTTTCAGGAAAAAAGCAAGGAAAATCTTATCGTGACTTCTTCAATATATCTTCATTTTTTGGCAAAGTTTGTCAAGTGAATGTGTAAAAGTTGTTCTAAAATATCGATTGAAACCTATATTTAATATTCCTAGCATATAATAGCGGAAAAAAATTCTCTGAGTAAAAATATGTTGGGCTAAAGTTCAAAGATATTAAAGTTTTAAAAAGTGTGCATTTAAAGAATTTTCTTCCAAATATCCTTCCACGACAAAAGATAGTCCCCCATAAATCTTGTTTC